AAGTCCGCGATCTTGCAGAAGCCGTCGTGGCCCAGGAGCACGTTGTCCGGCTTGAGGTCGCGGTGCGCGATGCCGTGGAGGTGGAGGTAGCCCAGGCCCGACGCGACGTCCAGGAGGTACGCGGCCGCGAGCGGCCCGCCGCACGGCCCGCCCGTCGCGGCCGCCGCGAACGTGTTCGTCGAGGGGTCGTGGACCATGACGGGGCCCTTCTCGACGTGCTCCATGAACATGTAGAGCGCGTCGCACTCGTCGTCGTCGACGACCTCGTAGAGCCGCACGAGACGGTTGTGCTCGAGCTTCTTCATGATCGCGATCTCCGTCTGCACCTTGTCCAGCTCCGTCGTGACCTTGACGCCGTCGGCCGTCCTCGCCATGGTGCGCTTGCGCCGCAGGAGGGACTTGTTGAAGACCTTGCAGGCCACGGGCGCGGCGAGGTCCGCCGACTTGGCGAGGTAGACCTCGGCGAAGGAGCCCCGCCCCAGCTTCTTCTCGAGCGTGTACTGGTTGATCTGGCGCACGCTGCCGTCGTCGTCCTCCCGCCGGGCCGTCAGGGGCGTCGACGCCATGGTCCGCCCCGGTGATCTCGAATCGAGCCCGGCTAAAACGTCGATGGGCTGCTCATGCCCGGCACACCGCGGCAACTCGAGCGTACACCACCCTCAACGTCGGCCTCGACGACGTGGAAGTTCGGATCGGCGGCTACTTAAACATGTGCTGGGAGTCGCGCCGCTGGAGCCAGCGCGCGGCGAGGTGCTGGTCCAGCTCCGCGACGCCGCGGTACGACAGCAGGAGCGGGCGGTAGCGCAGGCGGAACTCGCGCACGGTGACCCCCAGATTCACGGCGCCCGCGATCAGGATCAGCGCGAGCAGAAACGTCGCCCAGGTCAGCCCCTCCGTCGCGACCGCGTTGACGCCGCACGCCGCCAGGATCAGGACGACGGAGGCCCAGAGCGAGTTCCGCGCGCCGCGGCGCCACTGGCCAAAGGTGATGAGGAGGCTGTCTACCGACCGGGCCAGCACGTCGCGGTCCTGGTTGAAGGCCTGCTGGACGCCGAGGCCGACCTCCTCGGCGTACTCCTTCTCGACGTCCGACGCGGACATCATCTTCACGTAGTAGAACTCGAGGATCGAGAACGTCGTCGAGTAGAGCGACAGGGACGCGCCTACCGAGCACGACGAGTTTCCAGGATGTAAAAAATAGGCGCGTCGCGCGCCGGCACGCGCTGAGGCCCAGCAGCACGATGACGATGCCGTAGTTCGTCGACTCGTCGGACATGGCCAGGAGCTCCGCGGCCGCGAAACCGAAGCTGAGCGTGGAGATGACGGGCAGGGCCGCCGTCGCGTCGCCGACGGCCTCCGCCGACTCCAGGAGCCCGTGCTTGCCGGATTCGACGCCCTCGACGGACGGCGCGCGCTGGAGCGGGTTGTGCGTGCCGCTGGCGACGGCGTACTCCGACTCGCCGCGCCGCAGCGGCGGGTGGGTCGCGCCGCCGGCCTCGATGTCCGCTGGCGGGAGTGGCGCGGCCGTCGAGGGCGTCGGCGCGGGCGCGATCTTGGTCCCGTGGTCGCTCAAGGAGGGCAGGAGAGGGGCCATGCTGTACTGTGTGTTAAAGGTTAACTGCTCTCAGGCTGATACTTCCAAGGCCGCACGTACCTTGCACCGTTCAACGAAGGGCTCATTTAAAGGCACATCTCGCCTTGGCTACTTGCTTGGCCTGGCAGTTTCTGCCCGCGTCGGGCCCGTCGCGCACGATGAAGTGCGTCTTGTGGCAGTGGTACAAGTATTTCTACTCGTCCTCTCAGCCCCACCTCTTCTATGAATGCTTCATGCTCCCGCGGAACGAGGGTATACTGTCGTCGAAGGTAACGGTCCGCTACTTCGACCCGGGCAAGAAGAAGCAGTTGCACCAGGACGTGCTCGTCTCGCAGCTCGTGCGCGACTACCGCCCCCCGAAGCGCGGCGCGCGTCTCTGGTGGGAGCGGTCGGGAGACTATCTGCTCGTGACCGCGACCGGCGAGCGCGACGGCGAGACGGTCGAGGTCGAGGTCGACGGCGACTTCATCGCGGACGGCGGCGCCGTGACGTTCGTCCACATGGACCAGCTCACGCCCGTCGTCCGCGACTTGGACAAGAAGAACCGCAAGTTCTACAACAAGTGGCGCCAGATCAAGGCGACGCACCCCGACTGGATCTACAGCGACACGTTCCGCGCCACATGTTTGCGGCAGTCGACGAAGAAGCGCAAGGGCGAGATGTGCGCCACGAGCCTCAAGCGGACGACGATCACGCGCGACGGCGAGGACGCGTACCGAGCTTCCGACCAGCCGGCCAAGATCAAGAAGTGGCACGACTACTACCGCCAGTTCGAGATCTTCTGCCGCGGTTGCCAGGAGTACGGGCAGCAGACCTGGACCTGCCGCTGTGGCCTCCCAGGCACCGGCTCGAGTTTACCCACGGAGCTCGTGCGCTCGGTCCTCCGGAGGCTGCTCGACGACGACGCGCTCGACGCGGCGATGTCCGGCGTCTCCGCGGACCGCGACATCGAGCTCATCGGCATCCCCGCGGACCTCGCGGTCGAGGTCATGCGCCTCGCCACGGGCATGGACGCGGCTGAGCTCGACGCCGTGCTCGCGGAGATGCACGTCCATCCGAGCCTCGGCGTCAACTGCCGTGTCGTCGAGCTCGAGCACACGTGGCCGCTCGCGCCGCGCCTCCCGGGCAACTCGTTGCCGCACCCGGCGCCGGAGGGCCTGCCCGCGCACTTCGCGCTGGAAGACACTCCCGCCATGGTCGACGGGCGGCCCAACCGCGCGATGCGACTCTGTTCCCGTATCGACGTCATCCAGTACGCGCTGCACGAGGTCAACGTGCTCAAGGGCACGACGTTCAACCAGGACATGCTCAATGACTGGTTCGACTGGGAACGCTGCCTCTACTCCGTCGCCGAGTTGCAGAAGACGGACCCCTTGAAGCGCAAGTACCGGGCCCCGCACGACATGCGCAAGCGCGTGGAAGCGTGGGGCAAGGCCCGGTACGCGCGCTTCGGCGGGTGGCACCCGATCGCGCCCCGGGCTTAAACTCTATTACCTCGGCCCGCTGAAGCTCTAGACAAGTTTACCCCGGCAGCGCGATCTCGACGTGCTTGTGGCCGTACTTGCACACGACCGCGTCGACGTCGACGTAGACGCGGTCGTCGCCGTCGTCCGCGGAGTCGCCCGAGTCGTCGGAGTCGAAGTCGTCGTCGCCGTCGCGCGACCGCGACCGCGACCGGGATCGGCCGGCCGCCGTCGCGACGGAGACGTGGAAGCGCCGCTCGTCGAAGAACGCGGGCCGCCCGAAGGCGACGAGCGCGTCGTCGACGGCGTCGACGAGCGCGTGGAGCGCCGGCGACGCGTCGACGCGCAGCGCCTCGAAGCGGCGCGCGCCGTCCTCGCTGTCGAGCTCGAGCGCCGCCCCGCCGTCGACGACGGCGACGAACGGCGCGCAGCGCCGCGCCGCGAGCGCGGACCGCAGCCGCGCGAGGAACGGCTCGACCTCGTGGCGCAGGAGGCCGAAGGGCCGCGACAGCGACAGGTGGGCGTCGCGGCAGAGCTCGCCGCGGGGCGTGCCGCGCCAGGCGCGCCCGGCGACGCCGACGAAGCGCCGACTCCGCGGCACCGGGACGTAGACGAGGCCGTGCCAGCGGCCGCGGCGGTTCGCGGGCTCGCCGTTGCCGCCATTGCCGCCGTTGTCGAGCGCCGGCGCAGGCAGAGCCATGCCGCTCTCGTGCTCGAAATTGGCGCCGCCGTCGAGCAGAGCCATTTCACAAAAGCTCTCGGCGGCATCTTGCACTTCATGATGCCGTAAAACGCCACCGTCGACTCCGGCCTTTAGAACTCGCGGGTGGACAATAATATTGTTGGGAGGAATGACGAGGGATCCTGAGGCAGCCCAAGCGCCCCCCGAGCCGCCGGTGCCCGAAGCACCGATGGCGCCCGAAGAGCCCGCGGAGCCGCCGGCGCCCGACGAACCGGCGCCCGAACCCGACGCGCCGAAGCCGCCGACGCCCGACCCGCCGAAGCCCGAAGCGCCTCGACCGAAATCGTTCCCCAAGCCGACGCGGCTCAAGTCCATGCTCGGCCTCGCGCGGTCCAAGGTCGTCGCGTCCAAGGACGCCGAGTACGTGCGCGCGGGCGCGAAGAAGATCGCCACCTTCGCCAGGGAGCAGGTCGGCGAGCCCTGGCATTTCGTGGGCGCGGTCCAGAGCAAGGTCCCGAGCCGCTGGGCCGTCGAGAAGCGCTGGGCGTTCCGCACGGCCATCGCCGCGGCGCTCGGCATGGCCTACGCGTCTCTGGCGGCCGTGCACCAGGCGCGCTGGTCCGCGGTCCACAGCCTCGCGCCGATTTTGGCCATCGCGAACGTCGGCCTCGCGGCCGCGGTGCTGCCGGCGCCCTGCGTCGGCAGCGTCTTGCTCCTCTCGAAGCTCTTCCTCTGCGGCTCCGTCGTCGGGTCGTGCTGCGCCGTCGTCTGCATCGAAATCGCGCGCGCGCTGCCGTTCGCGGCCGCGGGCAAAGACTACGCGCTCTTCGCGCTCTACTGCGGCGCGGTGCTCTTCGTCGTGTCCCGGTCCAAGCTCCACCTCGTCATGAAGAAGCTCGCCTGCGTCGTGCTGTCCATCGCGACCTTCGCCCAGGCCGCGTCGGGCCACGCCATCCCCTGGGCGTTCCCCCTCTGCATCCTCACGCCCTGCGCCGTGGGCTGCGTCGCCGCGCTCCTCGCGGCGCTGCTGCCCTGGCCCGTGGCCGCCGTCGACGAGATCCGGCGGCGTGCGGCCTACCACGGCCAGGTGCTGCGGGCGCTTTTGGGGACGCAG